ATAGAGCATTGGAACTTCTGAACCTTGATGTGGTTTTTACTTCCGAGTTCATCAAAGCCATCGCTCCACATACAGGAAAAGATTCCATCGTTTTGGTACGTGTTATATTGTGTACTCTAGCACAGTGCGTTGTTACTTTATCGTCTGGAATGCCGCACAACACACATTTTGATTAGAAAAACACCAGATTTTCTGCTCACTTTATTCACCTAATTTGTATAGCGTTTAGGGCATTGAAAAACGTCTCAACCGTCGAAAGGACTTCAAATCAGCCGTTCGAATGAAAGTCTACCATGCATGGAAAGCGTTAGAGATGCCTCTACATCACACGGCAAATATCCATGTATCGGTAAATACGGTAACACCCACTAAAAATTATCTGCATTTGAAGCCCGAAACACATATATGCATTATGAAGAACTACGACTTTTGTCAGCTCTATTGCGAGAGTATTTTTGATCTACGTACCTCCGTTTGATTTTTTCCACAGCGGCATTTTTGCAGAATCTACTGGAAATTGCCGAACTACTACGCAACTACGTCGATAACGCGGAACGGGAATATGAAGACGTTCGTCAGATGATGACTGAAAATGCAGTGTAATAACGATTTAACAACTTGCACGCTGTACATCGCAGATTGAAAGAAAAGTGACTACTTTTCACAGATATTGATGAACAATGGTGTCTTATGCTAATTTTTTACTTCTTTTTTTCTGTCTGCCATTCTCAATCTTTTATGCTGTATTACCATATTCCACTTTCTATTGATTTCGAACGAAGCTTGTAGCCCTCATGTATTCAAGCTCTATTCTATATTTTATTGTACTCATGCTGCTGTACTACTGCATAGTAGCTCCCTCTCTCCTCATCTATCGTTTGTCCTTTACCTTGTAATAATTATAATCTTACATTAACAACTTCAGATTACGTAGTTTTCATGAGATAACGCAAAAATTTGAAGTGTGCAATACACTTGCCGAAAGCCTTGAGAAGTTGTTGCAAAAGATCTTTGAAAAATGATCCATACCATACAAACAGAGCATGACGAAAAAATTGGATATCACAATGT